TGAAGCAAATATGAAAAGCACTGAGTGTATTGTATGCGGAGATTAAAAATTAACGTGGTATACGGTGCGTGTAAACGGAGAATATGAACAAGTACTGTGTGTACTTGTATTGTACTGTACATATTGCATACGTCCAGCAATCCCTTACTTAACTGTGATTGGTGGACTAAAATGTAAATCCAACTAACAGCCAATAGGAGAACAGAGCAGTCAGTCAGCAAAACACCCCCAACTTATGTTTTCCTGCTGGATATTTATTCTCCTTTACATTGTTCATGGTGAGATGAAACTGGAAATGCGATGGGCGGAGTATTTATTTATTCATATCTTCCATTGTTCTAAATGTGCAAAAACAACTGTCACCACAGTCATTCCAGTGATAGTGCCCCCTGGGGCCCTCCCATTTGCCCTACCAGGTGCGTCGCCCTTAGGGGCTCTCCCAGGGGTGTCGGTTTCCCTAGGGGTCCTGCAAAGGGTATCTGCGCTCCCAGGGGCCTTGCTAGGGGCGGTGGCGCACCCAAAGGCTTTACCAGGTGGGGTGGCGCCCACAGCAGCCATCCCAGGGGCACCGGTGCCCCCAGGGGAACTCTCAGGTGTGGTGGCGCCCCCAGGGGACCGCCAAGAGTTAACGTCGCGCCCAGGGGCTCTTCTTAGGGACAGCGATGCCCCCAGCGGCTCTCCTCAGGATCAGTGGTGCCCCCAGAGGCGGTGGCGCACTTAAGGGCTGCGGTAGCCACAGGGGCCTTTCCAGGGGCCCTACCAGAGGCGTCCCCTGCATGGACACTTATAGGTTTTGATCGTAGTGTCGTCCAGCAATCCCTTACTTAACTATGATTGGTTGACTAAAACAAATCCAAGTAATGTTGCCAATAGGAGAACAGAGCAAGTCAGTCAGCACAACACCCCCTGAACTTCTATGTTTTCCCTTGTTGGATATTTATTCTCCTTATATTGTCTTATAGAGATGAAACAGGAAAAGCGATGGGCGGTGTTTTATTCATATCTTCCATTGTTCTAAATGTGCAAAAACAACTGTCCCCAGGGTCCCTACAGTGACAGTGTCCCCTGGGGCCCTCGTATTTGTCCTACCAGGTGCGACGCCCCAAGGGGCTCTGTCAGGGGTGTTGGCGCCCCCAGGAGCCCTATCAAGGAAGGGGGCGCCCCCAGGGTCCCTGCCAGAGGTGATGGCGCCCCCAGGGGCCATGCTAGAGGCGGTGGCTCCCTCAGAGGCCCTGCCAAGGGAAGTGGCGCCCCCAGAGGCCCACCCAGTGAACAACGGCGCTCCCAGGGGACCTCTGAGACGTAACGGCGCTTCCAGGTCTCACGAACGGTGGAGGCCTCAGGGGACTTGACATGGCCTGTGGTGCTCCCAGGGGCCATTTACAGACGTGGTGGTGCCCACAGAAGCTCTCACAGGGGGGATGCGCCCCGCCCCCCCCCCCCACGGGATGTCTCAGGGGTGTCGGCGCCCCCAGGGGCCCTGCTAGGGATGATGGCGCCCACCGGGGGCCTTCTAGAAGCGGTGGAACCCTCAGGGGCCCTGCCAGGGGCAGCAGCGCTCCCATGGAACCTCCCAGGGACAACAATGGCCCCATGTGGCCCATCCAAGGGCGATGGAGTCCCCAGGGGACCTTCTGGAAGAGCGGGGCTCCCAGGGGACCTCACAGGTGAGGTAGCGACCCTGGGAAGGCCCCTGTGGCTACCGCAGCCCCCTTTGGGCGCCACCGCCTCTGGAAGGTCCCTTGGTGACACCGCTGACCCTTAGGAGAGCACCTGAGGGCATCGCTGCCCCTAATAAGAGCCCCTGGGGGCGACGTTATCTCTTGGCGGGCCCCTGGGGGCGCCACCACACCTGAGAGGGCCCTTGGAGGCACTGGTGCCCCTGGGATGGCCCCTTTGGGCACCACCGCACCTTGTAAAGCCCCTGGGTGCGCCACCGCCCCTGTCAGGGCACCTGGGTGTGCAGACTCCCTTGGCAGGGCACTTGGGGGTACCGACACCCCTGCGAGAGCCCCTAAGGGCGACACACCTCGTAGGGCAAATGGAAGAGCACCAGGGGGCACTATCACTGTAATGACCATGGAGGCAGTTGTTTTTGCATATTTAGAACAATAGGAGGTATGAATAATACACAGCCCATCGCATTTCCAGTATCATAGCACCATGAACAATGTAAAGGAGAATAAATATCCAACAGCATAACATGAGTTGGGGTGTTGTGCTGACTGACTGCCCTGCTCTCCTATTGGTTGTTACATGGATTTACATTTTAATCCACCAATCACAGCTAAGTAAAAAATTCCTGGGCGTATGAAATAGGTACAACACTATGACCAAAAGCTATGGGTCTCTTGTCAGGGGGCTCCTCTGGTAGGGCCCCTGGGAAGACCCCTCAGGGTACCGCCGCCCCTTGGGGCTCCACTGCTTTTGAAAGATCCCCTCGGGGCACCGCTGACTCTGAGGAGAGCCCCTGGAGGCATCGCTGCCCTTAAGAAGAGCCCCTGGGGATGACGTTACCCCTTGGCGGGCCCCTGGGGGCAACTTTACCCCTCGGAGGGCCCCTTGGGGCGCCACCAAACCTGAGAGGTCCCCTGGGGAAAATAGTGCCCCTGGCTGGGACGCTGTGGGCGCCACCACACCTTGAAAATGCCCCTGGGTGTATCACCGCTCCTGGCAAGGCCCCTCGGAGCGCCGCCACCTTTGGCAGGGTCCCTGGGAGCACCGACACCTTTGGGAGGTGTCGATGCCCAGAGGTGTCCCCAGAGGCTCCCCAAGGGATGAGGTGTCCCCCAGGGACTCTTCTTAGGGGCAGCGATGCCCCCAGGGGCTCTCCTCAGGGTCAGCGTGGCCCGTAAGAAGAGCCCCTGTGGGCGACGTTACCCCTTGGCGGGCCCCTGGGGGCGTCACCACACCTGAGAGGTCCCCTGGGGAAACCGGTGACCTTAGGAGGGACCGTGTGGGCGCCACCGCACCTTTAAAATGCCCCTAGGTGCGCCACCGCCCCTGGCAGGGCCCCTGGGAGTGCCTCCACCCTTGGCAGGGCCCCTGGGGAAACCGACACCCCTGGGAGAGCCCCTAAGGCCGACGCACCTGGTAGGGCAAATGGAAGGGCCCTCCACGGGACGTCTCAGGATTGTTGGCGCCCCCAGCGGTCCTATTAAGGGCGGGGGCATCCCCAGGAGCTCTGCTAGGAATGAAGGCCCCCACCGGGGCCCTTCCAGAGGTAGTGGCGCCCACAGAAGCTCTCCCAGGGGCAGCGGCGCTCCATTGGGACCTTCTAGGGACAACGGCGCCCCCAGGTGGCCCTTTCAGGTGAGGCGGTGTCACCAGGGGCCCTTCTGGGGGAGCGGGGTTCCCAGGGGACCTCGCAGAAGTGGTAGTGACCCCAGGGTCACGCCAAGGGGCGAAGGCGCCCACAGGGCCACTCCTTAGGGGCAACAGCTCCGCCAAGGACTCTCTTCATGGTCAGCGGTGCCCCAAGGGGACCTTCCAGAGGCGCTGGCGCCACAGGGAGCGGCGGTACCCTCATGGGCCTTCCCAGACGCCCTACCAGAGGCACCCCCTGCCTGGACATTTATAGCTTTTGATTGCAGTGTCGTACATATTGCATACGTCCACTAATCCCTAACTTAACTGTGATTGGTGGACTAAAATGTAAATCAAAATAACAGCCAATAGGAGAACAGATCAGTCAGTCAGCACAACACCCTAACTTATGTTTTCCTGTTAGATATTTATTCTCCTTTACATTGTTCATGGTGAGATGATACTGGAAATGCGATGGGCGGTGTTTTATTCATATCTCCCATTGTTCTAAATGTGCAAAAACAACTGCCCCCAAGGTCCCTACAGTGACAGTGCCCCCTGGGGCCCTCGTATTTGTCCTACCAGGTGCAACGCCCCAGGGGCTCTCTCAGGGGTGTTAGTGCCCCCAGGAGCCCTACCAAGGGAGGCTGCTCCCCCAGGGTCCCTGCCAGGGGTGATGTCGGCCCCAGGGGCCCTGCCAGAGGTGCTGGCTTCCGCAGAGGCCCTGCCATGGGAAGTGGCGCCCGCAGAGGCCCTCCTAGTGGGCAGTGGCGCTTCCAGGGTACCTCTGAGAGGTAACGGCGCCTCCAGGTGGCCGTCTCACGAACAGCGGAGGCCTCAGGGGACCTGACATGGTCTGTGGCGCTCCCAGGGGCCCTTACAGACGCGGTGGTGCCCACAGAAGCCCTCACAAGAGGGAAGCAGCCCCCCACGGGACGTCTCAAGGGTGTTGGCGCCCCCATGGGCCCTGCTAGGGGTGATGGCGCCCCCCGGGACCCTTCCAGAGGCGGTGGCGCCCCCAGAGGCCCTGCCAGGGGCACCGATGCCTCTGGAAGGGCCCCTGTGGGTGTCACCGTACCTGGTAAAACCCCTGGGTGCGCCACCGCCCTGGCAGGGCCACTGGGTGTGCTGCCACCTCTGGTAGAGCCCTTTAGGGCGACTCACCCGGTAGGGCAAATGGGAGAACCCCAGGGGCCACTGTCACTGTAGGGACCCTGGGGACAGTTGTTTTTGCACATTTAGAACAATGGGAGATATGAATAAAACACAGCCCATCGCATTTCCAGTATCATCTCACCATGAACAATGTAAAGGAGAATAAATATCCAACAGGAAAACATAAGTTAGGGTGTTGTGCTGACTGACTGATCTGTTCTCCTATTGGCTGTTACTTGGATTTACATTTTAGTCCACCAATCACAGTTAAGTAAGGGATTGCTAATGACGTCAGAAGTGGGCGGAGCTAAGGCCTTAAATCAATTATGTGAGTGGAGGAAAACGATAATTTAATTAGGTGGGTGGGGCTTAGTCGATAGATCGTGTATGTGGGCGGAGCAGAGACGATAGATCAAACATACATAAACAAAGGCCTTTCTTAGATACACCAGTTCGTAATGGTACTTCTGTAACACATATGAGGAGAAATAAAGAGAAATTAAATAATAAATAAGAATGGAATACTTACGCTAGTTCACAACACCTTTTGAGAACCTGTTTGTGTACTCTGTCGATGATCTGGTGGCTAGTTTGTCGGGGACTTGATGGCTAGTTCCGGTATGTTCAGCGACAGATTGTTATTGTCATTATCATTACAAGTAATATATTTATCTTACCTGCTGTTCCTTATTAACAATAGTATCATCACTATTTTTACCATCATCAATACATTTACTGGCATTATTATTAATATTATTAGTGTATTTACTTTCAGTATTATTAATATTATCGGCAATGTTATTTTTGTAAACATACTTAGGTTAATTTTAAATTTGGTTACATAATTATACTCTGAAAATTGCAGTTAACGAAAAGTCTCCCATAAGCAAACTGGTTACGTGTCAATTAACCTGGTCAAGGGAGAGTTTAATGTACGTGTAGGTGTGTGTGTGTACAGTTACAAGCTCTCATTTCTATAACAGGTGAATTAACCTGACAAGGAATACGTACGGTATAGTTGTGTCGGGCCTCAGGTCGAGGGACACCCGGCTAGCAGCCTCGAGTAGTGGTCCACCTTGCTTAACATTTTTTTACATACCTGTATCAGAACATGCACTCTTGGCCTTCCTTCTACTCTATTGGATGTCTAATGGTAAACTAGGAAATTTGTTATTAGGGATACTAAGAACTTGGCGTTAGCGAGGGAGGTGGGAGGGGGTAAACGAAGTGCGTAACTTAACTCACGGGTGACGAAGGTGCTTGTTGGTTATTCATTTACGAAATAAAAACATTGTCAGTAAAATATAATATTCTTTCAATCACCCAATTATTCCATACATTACTTTGCTTTTGTAATAGTTAATGTATCAATAAATTACTACATCAGAATATAATCCAATCATCTCTTCATGTCGTCGCTCACCTGCACATATAATTAGTTCGTCAGTTCTATAATTAATAAAGGCAGTCAACCAACAGACATAAAAGACTAGACGATCATTTGCACAGTCAGTTCATCTGTCACTTTCCACCTGACTCGCTGACTCCGTTAATTAATAGATTGACAAAACTCATCGTGATGGAGACAGAGGAAGTGAGACACAGTGCCATGGTTGCTGGGTCGTAAAGAGACAGAAATCGAATATGTTTTTATAACGAGAGACAAAAGGGAAGAAAACAGAGTAATATCCAATCTTTTATTACTCCTTGTGGAACTATGAAAATCTAATTGAATTTGTATCACTACGTTGTTAAGCGTTCATGTTAGTATGGCATTTCTATAGACGCTGTTCCTGCTTCCAAACTTTAGACGTGTGAGGTGATGGTTTAGAAGAGGACGACAACAAGAGGAATTTACATTTAGAATTTAAGAAAGTCAGGATAATAAAAC